TAAAATCCACTGGTTTTCAGCTGCAATGATACTGAACAGTCGACTAACATATGGGTTTGTATAGCTATGCTGACTGACAATCCACTTGAATGTATGAAAATTAATTATTGAATGTATAAATATTAAATATCAGTGAAGTTATTTTATAATTTTACTGAGTGTCAGACACTTGTCATTACTTATAACAGCTTACTTTAACAGGCATGCAGTATTTACTTCAACATTTGAAGGGGTGCCTGGAAAAAGCTCTAAGTGACTTCTGATAAATTGCTAGATTCCCCTTCCAAATTGCCTTGTATTCCTTTGTAAAACACAAGGAGAGTTTGACCTTACATCAGCAGTCACTTAGGGCCTTATACTTCACACCCCTTTGTTTAATACACCCCAAACTCTTGGCTCCCTCTTAGTGTAGAAGACAAGGCACGACATAGTAAAACATCACCCCACAAAACTATTGTTTGTATCATTTTCCTCATTATTTTGTCCTTTTGTTCTCTATTATTTTTGGCCAGCTGTGTCACCTACACCAAGTAATAGCTAGCCAAACTCTATCTAGCCAACAAAAGGTAAGAATTGTACTCCTCTACTCACACAGGCATGATGCATGCCAGAGGATAACCCAAAGAACAAAAATGAAAACGCCTTGCAAATAAGATATAAAGAACTCAGCGTTCAAAATTCATCCACGAACTGATGAATTGGCCAACTTCTCCTGTTGTATTGTTTTTATCAAGGATCAAAGAAGTTAATTTTTGCTTGATCAGACCTTTGGANATAGCTATGCTAACTGACAATCCAATTGAATGTATAAATATTAAATATTCAAAATTGGTCCGCTGAAGTTATATTTTATACCTTCACTGAATGTCACACACTTACCATTACTTGTAACTAAACAGGCACAGTATTTATTTACTACAACATTTGAAGGGGTGCCTGGAAAAAGCTCTATTTACTACAACATTTAAAGGGGTGCCTGGAAAAAGCTCTAAGTGACTTCTGATAAATTGCTAGATTCCCCTTCCAAATTGCCTTGTATTCCCTTGTAAAACACAAGGAGAGTTTGACATTACATCAGCAGTCACTTAGGCGAAATGGCACTACTGGTAAGTATCAATGTGGGACACAGGTTTCTGTAAGGGTTGACTCTTACAATAATTGAGAGCTAATCTCTTTCGAGTGAGTGATATCTAGGCTAACCGGAACGCTATTAAGGCTAACCCCTTAACCTAACCGTAGTGCCATTTCGTTATTTCGCCATTTCATGTTTTAAACACGCTCAAAACAAGCTATCAGTACTTGACGGGCTCTCCAGAGCTGAGTGGAGGAGCCGTAGGAGGCTGGCCTTGTACTGGAGGATACTGGGCTTGTTGCTGCGGGTATTCTGGATTATACGGCGGCGAAGCCTTGTCATACCCTGGCGGTGGAGACTGATTGTAAGTTACCGGTGGAGGCTGGTTGTAATTTGGCGGCGGAGGCTGGTTATAATTTGCTGGTGGGGGCTGGCTGTAATTTGGCGGTGGAGGCTGGCTGTAATTTGGCGGTAGGGGCTGGCTGTAATTTGGCGGTGGAGGCTGGTTATAATTTGGCGGCGGAGGCTGGTTATAATTTGCTGGTGGAAGCTGGCTGTAATTTGGCGGTGGGGGCTGGCTGTAATTTGGTGGTGGAGGCTGGCTGTAATTTGCCGGCGGAGGGTAATGCTGTACTTGTTGGGAAGACATGGTCGACATCTGGGTGGTCGACACTAACGTTTGGTGAGTCGCTGGTTGAGACACGACGACAGTTCCAGGTGAACGATAGCGGTAGTACGGACAACACGCACAACAAAAGCAAGCCACGATGGAAATAATGATCGCGAAAAACACAATCGTGCCGACTACAGCGCCGGCAATGCTAGCTCCTGTCGAACTGGAGGAGTCACTTGAAGAACAAAACGTCAAGCAATCTCCGCCATCACAGCACTCTTCCCCCGTGCCACAATCGGAATCGAAGGAGCAGTAAAAACAGGTTTTTCTGCACACACTATCCGAACAGCAAGACTCGCCCGACAATTGGTTACATTCACTGTTATAACGACAAATTGTAGCACTTCCCAAAGCAAAGAAACACAGGATAACAATGTAAATTGCTCGTTCGACCGCCATTGTTAAAGAAGGTTTTACGTACTCACTTTACCGTATCCACCATGATTAAATATTCATATATACCTAACTAAACCAATCCTGTTGGAGTTGAACTCTTTTCTTATGTAAACACTTTCTTTTGTTCCAAATTTGCACTGCTATGTATAATACTTATTGCAAATATTGCAAATGATTTTCTATCCTTGTAAAGTTTTAGTGCTAACCGAGGCAACGACAAAAAGGAGATTGCACAGTTTAGGACAAAAAGGCTCCCTACATGCCAAAAAAACAGTCAAAACAGGGGATCATGAAAATGCATTTGAAATTGCATATTCTTTGTCTGAAGTCTACCGGTTCAAGAAATTTACGAGGCCGTATTTCCGGCTAAATTTACAAGAGAAAGGATTAGAAAGCAAATTGCTTCCTTTGATACTATTGTTCAAACCTCGAGATAATGTGCCCGGCGTGCCCAATTGATAAAAATCGATCATCGGAAAGCAATCGATATGATCAATATAATCGATAATAATTAATCGATTATTATCGATTGCCTCAAATAATCGATGAAAATCGATACTCACAATTCAAATCCTCGTAATTGCTATCGATTATAGCGGTTGCCATCGATTGTCATCGGCAAGTCTATAAAGGGGTTCAAGAAGTTATATTTTACCTTGATGACAGAAAGGAAAGAAAACTGATTATCGTAGTAGATATTTTTTTCATTTTTGATTTGTTTCCGAGTTTCTTGGATGCGTTTATNGGCTTTTAGTATGCCCACAACTAAAAAGAAAGAACCTGTTCCAGGACCTAGCGGGTGAGTAAATGATTGACAGTAGATAGTTTATAGAGTGTTAAACAAGGTTGCAGAAGTTTGTACATGAACTTAAACTTGTACATGTACATGTACCGTTATTATAGATGATCAACCTAGTACACGTAAAAATAAACTGGAAGATAGCAAGCGACCCGCAAGAAGCCGCAAGAAGTTGCCGGCTTGCGGACGCATGAAGAAGTTCTTGCATGTGTATTATTTTTGGGCTGTACTGTAATAGACTAACAGTGTACAGCTGACAGCAAAGTTTGTTTAGGTCTTCAAAATATGCTTCAAAAGACAGGGTAGAATTGTATAATGTAACTAAATGACCTGACAGTATTTATGGCCTCCCCACAAGTGAAGAGAGTGAGTGAGTGAGTGAGTGAGTGAGTGAGCGAGTGATTCATGACCAAGAAGAAGTAAAAAGCAACTATGCCTGGAAAGATGCCTCCCCTCCCCCAAAAAAATATCCCTGATGATTCACAAATGTTAACCATACTCTCTTTTCGGTATCCTGTAATCACAGACACCCAACTTGCCATGATTTTGATTTGTGTTGAGCTTTCTTGTTCTGGTCTACGTGTATTTATGTGATGCCTCCTTAGGATCGTGGACCGATTTTAATGTTTTATCCTTGTTTTTATCATGAAGGTTTGATACTCACATTTTCATGGTTTTAACTGAAAACAACTAAACAAACAGCTGGCACTACCAAATTGGCATATGTCCCTAGAATCAAGACATTGCAGAAAACAACTTGTTGGCATGATCTTAAAATCTCATGCACTAATTACTGTTAGCTCAACTAAATACCAGCAGTATCACTTCATACAAATGTACACATGCAACTGTGATGAAACTGTGTGAAACTGTAATCTCACATGAATGGATACCTGTAGACCAGTAATAGCTCTCTGCGTATATTGCAAGCCTACAATGCTAGACAGTTGTTGTGCAACTCACTTGTAATTAAAATATATCTTTTCCAGAAATATGTATTGAAAACTTGATTTGATTTACATGTAAGAATAGACTGTACATGTAAAGGCAGGTTAGTTCATGTAAATATTGTCTTTTGGCAGCAAGTTTCTTTTTGACTATTTGGTTGCCAAAAATGTTGTAGATGTCTGGTATGGCTGACAGGTATACTTTGATTGTTGTTTATTTCAATTTATTTTTATTCATTTGCTTCTCTTAATTTCACAACTATCAGGCACCAACACCCAAGCTTTCCTCCCATTAATTTTCAGAGTCACTCAGTCAAAACCTACAGGCCTGCAGAATCCCATGAGTTCAGCAAGCTTGAATCAAAGGGGAAAGAAGAAAGAAAAGGAAAAGACTAAAGAAAGGTAATTAAACCCTAAGGGCGTATTATTTTAAAAGGAGCTACGTCACGGTTTGCTCATATTGAGAAGTTTAGCCTCAATTTTTCAAATTCGTCGTTTGTAATCCATGTCAATCTTGTCCATCCTTAGCCATCCTCGTTCCTTTATGGTTTATCATTATCTCTTTGGTTTTTTTCTATCTTATTAAACTGTTATTTTCAGGTTTCCTAATACTTAAAGGTAATTTTGTATGTGGCCAAAATAACTCAAAATACCCGTGACTGAGCCCCATTAAAAATCAATCACAAAGTCTTCTAGAAATCAATAACAAGTAGACAATGTAATATTAATTAATTGTTCTACATTAAATTTTACATTATTTTTAGTTGGATATCAATTTTGTCTCAAAACTGCGCCAGAAATGTAAATTATGCATAAAAATTCAAGAGAACATGGCAAGTTTATTCTAAATAAATGTGACTGCTTTTCAGTGTGAAAAGGAAATCAGCATTAGAGGAAATAATGGAAGTGAGTACATGTGCATGTAAACATTGTTACCATTATAAACATACTGTACTACTCAAGCTAAACAGCATTTCTTTTGTTTCAAACTGTTAGCCCAGAGAGATCTGTGAATAGTTATTCGTAAATACATGTACATATCAATCTATTAGTACAATTACAATAATTCTCTGTATGCTTTAAACATTATCATAGGCTGTGTATTTTTAACACCTTATAGATTCTTTTACCTTTTGTAATTTTTATTTGATTTTTACTGTAGCTGAAATTTCTAAATTCATATTGAAAACCCCTGTTAGAAATAGTAATAATTTTTTTTTATAACATAGCACACGCTAGTCCTACCTAATTCCTATTGAGTCATCATGAACAAAATCTCTATATACGCACGGCGGTGGGCATATAAGATGATGTGTGCAGTTTTAATTTGGCTGCAAAATTTCCATCGAGTTTAGTGCAAGTTCCTTTTGTTTAAGTTTCGGCAATGTGAAGATTATTCTGAATGATCCCAAACTCTACTTCGATCCTTTGACTTTTGCCAAGCTACATGTAAGATGTTTACTTAAACTTGAGCATTTTGATTTTGTTTGTCTACATTTTCATTGAGTTTTTTTTTTACTCTGCTTGCCTACATTTGTACTTTTTCATTGTAATTAATTCAAAGAAGCGAATTTTTTATTCACAATTTTAGAAAGCTAGGCTAAGCGTTTTCGTTCAACTGTTGCTCAACTGATTGTGGCCTGTTAGGATCCTAATGACCTTTGTTTCCCTTCACTGTGCATTGTGAGAACTTTCTGTAGTCAATCACAAATAAACCATGTTTTAGCACCCAAGTTGTTTTCACTATGTTATAAAAGAATTGGTTCATGCTTTTAGCTGTGTGTATATCGAGTTATGGATGCACTTGGGAAGTTTGGAGAGCACTCAAGAAGCTAGAGTTGCTCTTGACTATCATGTCGAGCAACTCTTACATGTATGCTTCTTTTGTGCTCTCCAAACTTCCCAAGTGCATCCATAGCTCAGTATACATTGTATAACATGAAGATGGCATTGAGCTGATGTCAATTTATTTCGTTCATTTAACACGAAAGGTCAAAATTATCAATCTGGATATAATGCGCATTGTAAATGTGTAAGGTATTGACCTAAGGAAGTTGTTTGTTCAATATTTTTATCATCATTTAGAAAAATTCATGTTTCTTGCCGATAGAAATATTTGAGCAAAGCTTTTTGCTGATTAGAACTTTCACGAAGCATTTTTGTTTGCCATGGATTTTCCTCTATTTCATTTTGCCCAGTTAAATACTGATATCACAGTAGATACATGTAGATGTAGATGTAGATGTAGAAGGTAACTTATAAGGATCTTTCTTCTGCAGATGGAGGAGCAAAAAAAGAAGAAAACAAGCCGCAAAGACAATTGGATAGCAAAAGTAAGTAAAGCTGTACATTGTAGTGTATGGTACTGAAGGGAGGGAGAAAGCCTCCAACAGAGAAGTGAACAGTGAGGAGCTGGGAGCAGAGATGCCAGATGGAGCAGTGGCAAAGAACTCACCTCCCATCAGTGCGGCCCCAGTGCAATTCTGGCCAGGTTTCATAAATAATTATCATGTGGGTTGAGTTTTGTTGTTGGTTCTTGCCTTGCTCAGAGGGTTTTTCTCCGGATACGTCAGTTCTCCTCCCTCCACAAAAACCAACATCTTTAAATTCCAATTCCACCAGGACAGAAGACCCACATGAAAACCAGCTTAGGCTATTGTAATTTATTTATGGAATGTTTCCGAGAATGCTTCCTGTGTAACTGTACATTTGTAACTATACACATAAAGCTTCTCAATTTCCTGCTGTCAAACTCTGACAAAATGTTTGTAAGAAAAGAACCATGAAAACAATCTCTACTAGCACCACTGCTTGTGTATGGTATGAACAACTGGAAAGCATACAATGTAATCTTAGTTTCTTTATTTATTTTTGTCACTTCAGTGTACAAATTTATATTGATGGTTGAATTATTTTTAAAGTTATTGCTCCTGAAAAGCCCCAATTGGGAGGCGCAATAAAATAGGTATCTAAAGTATGTGAAGCATATTATGATTATTAACTACATGTATGATGAAGTTGCTTAATAGACAACATTTCCTTAACAGGGAATCGTTGTTAAAGTTGTGACCAAAAGACTTGGAGATAAATACTACAAAAAGAAAGGAACAATAAAGGTTTGTATAATAATCAGTAATAAAGATGAAAGTTTATGTTATCAATCTTAAATTTAAAATAAATTTTTAAGTTGATATAATTTTATGGCAAGGAACGTTTTGTTCATTGTGAATACTACAATAGCTGCTTTTAATATGGAAAGCAACTTTTCCTGAAAAAATGTATCTTTTTGAACTGGCTCAAGTTTGAAAAACGTAGTAAATTCTAGCAAACTTACAACAGTATGCAGAACTGAGTTTCCTTTTTTAAAAAAAAATTCATATGGATGGTTTTTTTCCTACAGCTCTATCAAACATACATGAAATTCTCAGTCAGACTTCACTTACCTACTAGAAATTAGCACCTTAAAATCATAGAATTTTGATTGAGAGCTAACCGGTCATTTACTCCTACGTCTGACATGATTTTTCAAAAAAGAAAACAAGGAAGGAAGCAAAAGTTGGAAAGTAAAGAAAACGAATCTTTCCCATGTAACGGACTTCTTTTACGAAAGCAAAGGTCGCACAAGGACCTTCAGGACAATCACAGTCCAATACTAATTAAAATCACTTGGACTGTGTTGGACTGATGGTATCTAGAGCATGCATTTTGATTGCTTGATTTTAGTTTGTGGCTCTCTGAAGTAACTTTGTTGTGTAAAAATAATGCATATGTATGCTGACTGTTTTCATTCTCTTTCTGAACTTAGGATATTCACAATCTATTTGTTGCTACAATAAAAATGTCTGATAGTGGAGATGTGATCAAGGTTGACCAAGAACACTTGGAAACAGTCATACCAGCCCTAGGTACATGTACTTGTAATGCTTTAGTCAAGCTTGATGTTAACAGTCTCACTTCTAAAAGCAGTAGTCTAGTATTGTAGGAGCCAGAATGTGCAGCTTAGCAAAGTATCCTTACTCACCCCATGAAAGGTCGCTGGAAATTCCAGGGGAGGGGTCTCAAGAGTCAAAACTTTTTATAGGAAAGTATGAAGCACTGTGGCCTCATAGATGGTGCGCTTATCTCGGGATCAAGCAGTTCTGGTTTGAGTTCTGGCCAGGGACATTGTGTTGTGTTCATGGGAAAGACACTTTACTCCCACAGGGCCTCTCTCCACCTCTTTCCAGCTAGTCCAGTCCAAGTCTTTGTGCTCAGCTTCAACAGCTTCCACATGTTTTGAGGCAGGCACAGTGTCCTAATGATTGGTATGTAAGACTCCAGATTGAAAGGGCTGGGTTCAAGCCCTGTCCAGGAACATTATGTTGTGTTTTTGGACAAGGCGCTGTACTCCCACAGTGCCTCTCTCCACCCAGGTGTATAAATGAGTACAGCAAACTATGGGGCAGCCCATCCAGGGGGAAAAAGAAATGTTCACCTAGAGTTAGATTCCTCATGCAAAATATATCAAACGTGGTATGGAGAATCTCAGAAATAAACTGGCTGTGTGTACATGTACAATTTGTTTTCCAGGGAAGACTGTCTTGATTGTAAATGGCATCCACAGAGGATCAACAGCCTCGCTTGTGTCCCTGGATGAAAAGAGCTTCTCAGTTACAGGGGATCTTAAGGATGTAAGCTGAGCCGGCTCCATGTTTGCTTGACAGGCCATATTTGTATTCTCAGTATTGGGCTGCAATTACTTCCAACTGAGGGGGAAGTCTTCAAATGATATTCCTCTGCATGAGCCTCTATTGCAGGCTAGTTCCAGTCCAGTACCGAGAATACGAATATGGTCTATTTGACAAACTTCTGTCTTAGAGTGTACTAAAACCCAAGGTAGTGGATTATGTAGAAATACCCTGCAGGCGTATCTTGAGAAAATTAAGATTAATTGTCCAAGTTTTCAGTGACCCTCAATGTTAACCATTTAGCCCGCCGTGTCATCCGCCACCCCTACCCACGGGTATTTTGTACGCTCTCCAGTTGCGCTGGCATCAAGAGACCAAGATGGCAGTTCGTTGAACTCAATGATGGACATCTACGATCTCACGCAAAAAATAGGAGACTGTGAGCAGTCTACCATTTGTAGTGCGTGAGAAACTTTGACAAGTCAATATCCTCATGTGATTAATTTTCACAAAGTAAACGTTAACCCGAGGATGTTAATTTTCAGTTTATGACACGCTGCTATTAAATATTAGTATAATCTACTATCGTTCTGTCACGAATGCCGTTCTCTTATTGGCTACGCTACTCACCATCTATTCTATTGTAGATAGTGAGTAGCCTAGCAGTGTGTGATTGTATTCAAAATGGCGGCGTCTTTTTTGTGTTTTGGAGGATTTAGATAAAAATTTTGAATGAAAAGTTAATTTATACTAAAACAATTAGATTATTCGCTCTCGATTTCTATGCGTGATAGTTGACACAGGCTACGCCCTCGTCAACTATCATTCGATAGAAATCTCGAGGTCGTGATCTAATTGTCAATTATGAGCAGTCGGATGATAGGAAAGCTCCAAGAAAAATTTATATCTATGAAAACTGCAAACGCGACAGTTTAAAGATTCAGCTTGGCAAGATTGACATATAGCACTCCCGATTGAGAAGTCAGAAGTCTGGGTTCGAGTTCTGGGCGGGATCGGCAGTACATCACAAGTAAATGATGTATTTAAAATGAAAACACCCGTTACAAACACGAAAAGTATGTACGCATTGCGTGCCTTTATTTGTCTCCCTTGTAGGGACCCCACAGAGGGAAAAGAATAGACAGGATCCCTTATGAAGACATCTGCAAACTGGACACGTGACACCACGTTCAAAGTTCACTCAAGCGCACACGGCCCCTGTCAACACGTAGCAAACTGTAGATTATGAACGCACACTTTAGGAGAAATCACTGAGAAGTGTTCAGTGAATGTTCCAGTCTTCTATGAGTGAAATTTTGAATAAAAATCTCATTTCAGTTGAGTTTTTTTCTTAAGAGAGTCTGGCTATGCTTTTTCCATTGTATGTTAAAGGTCCTGACACATGTCGTAAGCGCGGAAATTTGAATTTTGATTGGGTAATCTTTAAAGTTAGCTTCGATGTCGATCGTATGAAAACTTTGAAAGTTATATTAACAGTATTTAGGAAATTCTTTTTCATTTGGGGAGGGTTTTCATGACGTAGTTTGTTTGTTTTGTGAAGATCGTAGAGAAATTTTATGTCCTCGAGAAGAGGAATACGAAGCGGCTCGTTCCATTCTAAGGCTCAGATTTGGGACAATGACATCTCCAATGACAAAAGTTTATTATAGGGTGTTTTCACATGACGTCACGGCAGCCATATTGGTGTCTCAAAACAATCAAAACGGCGGCCATGTTGATGTACCAAACCAATCCTGTTGGAGTTGAACTCTTATCCTATGTAAACACTTTCTTTTCTTTTTTTTTCACCGACCACGTGAAGCCTAACGAGAAAAACTTCATTCTATTTCGTGTTTAATGCAATCACAGCAAGCTAGTTAAATAATTTGGTTGGGAATAAGAAATGTTTCCCCTATAGGGAACAACATTTGTCAACGACGACATAATAGATTGACAAAGAAGAAAACAGGAAAACTAAGCATGGATTATTAAGAACGTTAAGACAGACTGCGAACGGCTAACATGAAAATATATCCTACATTGTGCGCCAACTGTGAAGTAACCATTGTTCAATGTTCGGTCGTTGTGAATGGATAGCATATGTAAAGCAGTTGCATTTTTTTTTCTTTTAATTCGCTTTTAAGTCTTAAATGTATAATTCGTATGTAAATACAGGTTGTTTCGCCTCAATAATTAAAAATATTTATGACAACTTTGGATGTGTTCATTCCTGTGCAACCGTCTGTACTACGCATCCTTCATTTGTAACATGAAAAGATTTTCATTCCATGATCTGAATCGCACAATTTTACCACTGACATGACGCAGAGATCTCCCGAGCCCCGTGATGTTTTCCGGTGGTTTAGCCCTGAATGCCTTTCCTTCCTGGGGCATTTTTAATCTGACCTGTTGCAATCAGTTTATTGTCCTGCTGTGTGAACATTTCGTCGCTTACTATCCTTGATGGAGCTGACATCGGTCTTTCCTTTACTGTTTTACTCGACCTGTGCCGAAAAGTATCCGAACACATCACAGCACCAAGAGAATCCGACCTCACAAATGGGACGCCTCTTTGCTCGCTTTGAAGCTTTTCAACATGTAGCGATGCCACAGAATATCGACGTGTCCTAATGTAACGCGCAGTGTGAGCTGGTGGCCTGTTTCTGCACCTTAACAGCTCCAATGCAGCTTTCCTTTTGCGGCGGTTACTATACCAGTACAATAGTGGGTTGAACAGAGAGTTTAACTGAAATATTGTGTCTGCCCATCGTAAAGTGGAAACCTGGCCGAAAAAAGGCAAGACTCTCCGAAAGATATAAACGACTTGGATCGGCACACCCGAGGCAGCAACAAAAGCCGTTAACCAGAAAGTCGTGTAAGCAACTTTGCGTTCAAGCTTCCCTTTGACCAGAGCATTGACTGGGTGGATTCGCGTTCCGTTCCACTTTCGCACTGCGAGATACGTTTTCACATAAAAGAATACTACAAGCAAAATGCAGACAACCCAGAAAATGCTCAAAATGACATCTCCGACTAATATTCGGTCATAACGAAGGTGAGCAGCTTCCATTAGTAACGATGAAACAACTATTAGTAATGCCAACAGCCAGGCAACTCTCGTGTACTTGTTTACACGGCCTCTTGTAGCAATAGCCTTGTACTCCATCCATTTAGCTATCGCCACAAGCCTCTCCCAAGCAATTAGGAGCAAATGTAAAAATGACGCACCACAAGTAAAATACATTACACAGGCATTTACGAAAGTTACTGTACAGATAATATCCACATCTAAAACTCTCTTGATAAATAACGTGTCTAACGTGATAGACAGTGGCATAGATACAGCGTCCACCAAAAGATCAGCTAAGGCCACGCTAGACAACAGGATATTAGAATTCTGTTTCAATTCTCTTCTCGTCTTCACTGCTATTATCACCAAGAGGTTTAACAGAATGGTAACGGGACAAGCAATGGTCGTGATGGCAACAATAATCTTAAAAGAAGTTGTGTGATTCAGGTCCCATATGAATTCTGGCAACTCCGGGCAATGAAACACTGACCTGCAGCTGGTTTCGTTGGAGCAATTGGAGAATGATTCTGTATTCTTCACTGTCATGATCGATATACCTCGTTAAAACGGATGACTGTGGAGAATTAGTTTCTTAACCGCGTACGATTGCAGTTTTGATTTGTTTTACTAAAAAGCTTCACCGGTCTTGACCTGTCCTCGACCAAGCATAAAATACATGAATTTTGCTAATGGCTTAACTCACGCGTTGGTTTTCAATCTTCATATTGAGTGCTGCTGCTTGTGTGACGTCAGAGGTCCCATTCAGTAGAGAAATCCTTTTAAGAGCAGTGAATGTCCTGTCAGCCTGTATTATTTTTCCTTTTTCCTGTTCACAGCGTTGCACAGAGCTCGCCACCTGTTTTGAACAAGGTGCAAAGTGTGCAGTGAGTCAAACAACAATTCATAGCTTATTCGCCTGGTTGAGCATATTTTAAAATTGCTATAAACTTTTGCCTCAAAGCACACCCCTAAGCCATTAGCTGTTGCTTAAGTTAACTTTATTATCTTTGTCCTTCTGACTCAAATTTTTATATCCGAAAAAACAATTGGAAATTCATTTGACATCCAGCGAAATACCAGGTGGTTTCCCAAACATTTAAAGCTTGTATTTTTATTTTTTCGTGCCCATTTTTACCCAAAAAGATATTTCCATATTTAGCTTTAGTCTTCTCATTTCAAATCCAAACATCTAGAGATGCAACCTTAACTGAAGAGAAGAGAACCTAGGCAACACTCTTAAATTCTGCGAGTTAATATTTGCATCTAATAATTTTCCACGCAATTGTTTTATTTCGCCGCTTAATTACGGATTGTCGTATGAAATGGTCAATTTCCTTTGCAAATGATTTCCGTTCAATTTATTTTGACTAAAAAATATATTGTCAGTTGTATTTTCAGCCCTACTTTGAAGCACACATGGAAGCTATTGATCGCAGTACGTCGAGCATTGTAAAAGGAAAAATTTGGCAGGAAATTTGATAAGCGAACTCAATGTCAGCTAATGCTTTCTTATACAGTCACAATGGCGGTGCCAGAATGAAAACAGTAACCTCCCCATAGATGAAAAACATCCAATTACCTTCATATTATAATTTTATGTTATTTTTTAATTTCTTATTTTCGCCATGACCATACGATCGATGTTCTCGCAATAGTCCATCTTAGTAAAAAGATATCCTCTCATACATGCATGTCTATAATAAACAGAGAGTTTCCATGGTAACTTATCACCAAATGGGATAATAAACAAAGCAAACTGTATCTGTCTATTCCAGTGCGCCCATCTGTCATTTCTAAGTTTCACTGTGTTCAATTACTTGAGTGTTTTGATCAAATATCTGGTAGCAACAGCTATAGACATTTGAAACGTCAGTCATGAAGTAAGTTTATATCAATATTTCAGTCTAACAATACCTCCCTACCCCACGGAAAAAAAAAGCTATGGCCTTGAGTCATACTCGAAATACTCGCTAAAATGTCGAAAAGCGATTGAAAGCGGCCTAATATTTCAGAATCCCCCTCCATGGCACTGTCATGTCTTATTCACTATTTCTGGCAGATTTTGGAATTTCCCAAAAAGAGTAGCATGTTCCTCCATTGATAAAACTAAAATTTCAATGTTTACTTTTTCTAGTAAGAATAATATTACGATTACAATTTCTGTTATTGCTCAAAATATTTATCCGGGATGCTGGCTTTAACTATACTTTATGTAGTTAATAAATATTCGCCGCGACTTAGTTTTGCAAATGTTTAATCCTGGCAGTTAATTACAAAGCTTTACTTCATATTTTATTTCATTTTATTTTGTTATACATGTTAAAACATGACGTAATCCAGTCGGACTATATAATCTAAGTATATTGCAAGGGATGGGGGGGATCCTATTTGAAAAGATCGGAGATACTAGTCGTCTCCCTTAGGAATTTAAATTACGGATATTGGTCTCACTTCTATAGTTAGCCGTCAAGGTATCTCTTAGGGTTGCACTCGAAGAAATCATAAAAAACGCTGTCTGCGCGCAGAGATAGTAGAAATTATCTAACCCCTGCGTTGAAGCAAAGTAGCCCATGGTTTTTCTTTTACCCCCATTCCTCTGCAGAACAAACCGAGCATGTTTATCAGTTTGTAGACTACGGGTAGTCCCTCTTTCGAGTAGTCCGTGGTGCGTGACGTGAAAGAAAACCCCCGGCCGCGCGAACTCCTTTCGCGCGCGTCTCGCCCTTAAGATTTCGCGCGATCATTTTTTTCTCGTGGTTTTCTTTCGCGTCACGCGCGACGGACTAAGCGAAAGAGGGACTGACTCGAAGGTTAATGAGTTTACCGAGCCCATAACGTTACATAAGTCTAAAAAGGCAAGTCAAAGCATACACACACTTACTTTTACTGGTCAATTTTATCTGTTGTTTATTGTCTCTAAAGAATTTTGAAACATTTCATGATGTTCTAATTTTAAAGGACTATAGTTTTGTTTCCTGGTAACGATTATACGAAAGTTCTCTCTCATTAGTCAATTGTGACTTATCAAAAGTTGCTCTGTCCTTCGGTTTGTGTAAGTTTTTTACTAATAATGTTATTGGCACTGATCTGGATCTCTGGGCATTCCTCTGTGTCGCATTATGGTGACATTTAGTTTGTGACGCAAAGGAGTTTTCATTCAGCGAACTTGATCGCACAATCTCTCCACCGATATGACGTCGAGATCTTCCAAGCTCCATGGTGTTTTTCGGTAACTTCGTATTTCGCTGAATACTTTTCCCTCCTGGGGCATTTTCAATCTCAACTTTTACTATTACTTGGTTGCGTTTTTGTGTGAATATCTCGTCGCTTGCTAGCCTCGATGGAGCCGACATGGGTCTTTCCTTCACTGCCTCATTCCGCCTCTGCCGAAAGGTGTCTAAACAGAACATAGCACCGAGAGATTCTGACCTTGATAATCGGGCCCCTCTTTGCTCGTTTTGAAGCTTTTCGACATCTAGCGATGCTACGGAATAGCGACGTTGCCTAATATGACGCGCCGTGCGGGCTGCTGGCCTGTTTCTGCACCTTAACAGCTCCAATGTAGCTTTCCTTAAGCGGCGGTTTCTATACCAGTACAATAGTGGGTTGAACAGAGAGTTTAACTGAAATATTGTTTCTACCCATCGTATAGTGGAAACCTGGCGGAAGAAAGGCAGAACTCCCCGAAAGAGATAAACGACGAGAGTCGGAAAACTCGACACTGCAAAGAAAACTGTTAGCCAGAAAGACGTGTGAGCAACCTTGCTTTCAAGCTTCTCTTTGACTGGAACACAATGATTCACTGAGCGGACTGTTGTTCGGTTCCATTTTCGCACTGTGAGATAAGCCTTGACATAAAAATATGCTATAAGTGATAAGCAGACAAACCAAATAATGCTCAAAATGACGTCTACGACTAATAAGAGCTCATAACGAAGGCCAGCAGCTCCCATCATAACTACTGGAACAACTATTAGTAATGTCAACAGCCATACAACTCTCCTGTACTTGTTTACACGGCCTGTTGTAACAATAGCCTTGCACTCTGTCCATTTTGCTATCGCCACATGCCTCTCCCAAGCAATTAGAAGCAAATGAAGAAATGACGCCCAGCAACCAATATGCAGTACAGAGACACTTATGAAATCTATCGTACAGATAATATCCACATCTAAAACTCTCTTGATAACTAACGCGTCTAACGTGATAGACAGTGGCATAGATACGGCGCCCACCAAAAGATCAGTTAAGGCCACGCTAGACAACAGGATGTTTGAAGTCTTTTTCAATTCTCCTCTCGTCTTCACAGCTATTATCACCAAGAGGTTTAACAGAATGGTAACGGGACAAGCAATGCTTGTGATGGCAACAATAATCTTAAAAGAAGTTATGTGATGTAAGTCCCAGATGAATTGTGGTGACTCCGGGCAGTAAAACATTGACCTGGTTTCGTTGGAGGAGTTGGCGAGTGATTCTGTACTTTTGACTGTCATGATCGATACACCTCGTTAAAATGGATGATTGAAGAGAATTAGTTTCCTGACTGCTTGATTCTGGTTTGGTTCTGTGTTACTATACTGGATAAAACTCCGGCGCTCTTCACAGCTGCTCGACCGAAACTACGGTTGCTAATGGCTTATTCTGTTTTTCAGTATGCTAATATGCCTGCTGTTTCGTCGCGTTTTGCTTTCTATTCATCGGTAGCTTTGTTGGAAATTGTCTCAGAAATTTTTTGCAAACTGATTGCTAAAAAGTGGAGAATGGCTGGGTCGCCAGTAATTTCCTGTTCTCTTGACGTCACAGATTTCCGCTAGATTTGCTATCGAGAGCAGTTTGTCTTAGAATTTCATCACTGGGTGATCGCGTTTTTATGGTTGCAGCCCCAGTCTTGTGGAACAGCCTTCCCTTGTAAGTGAGACAAGCTACGAACGTTAACACTTTTAAGAGGCCCTGCGCCTAAGAAACGACCGATGATTTCCGGCTAAAAAATAAAATCGGCCGATTTTTATCTCCCAAGCAGAGGTTACCGAATAC